AAAAGAAGCGTGGCCAGCAGGTCGAGAGAGGTGATTCTGCCCCCCCTACTCTGCTCTCGTGAGACCCCACCTGGAATACTGCGTTCAGTTCTGGAGTCCCCAGCACAAGAAGGACATGGAGCTGCTGGAGTGGGTCCAGAGGAGGGCCACAAAGATGATCCGAGGGCTGGAGCACCTCTGCTATGAAGACAGAGTGGGGCTGTTCAGCCTGGAGAAGAGAAGGCCCTGGGGTTATCTTATAGCAGCCTTCCAGTACCTAAAGGGGGCCTACAGGAAAGCTGGAGAGGGACTTTTTACATGCATGTAGTGATAGGACAAGGGGCAATGGATTTAAACTGAAAGAGGGGAGATTTAGATTGGATATAAGGAAGAAATTTTTCACTCAGAGGGTGGTGAGGCACTGGAACAGGCTGCCCAGAGAAGTTGTAGATGCCCCATCCCTGGAGGTGTTCAAGGTCACGTTGGATGAGGCTTTGGGCAACCTGGTGTAGTGGAGGGTTTCCCTGCCCATGGCAGCGGGGTTGGAACTAGATGATCTTTGAGGTCCCTTCCAACCCTAACCATTCTACGATTCTATGATTCCATGAATTTCTGAAAAAGCAAGCAGAGTGTCTTAAGTCTAGTGCATATTAAAATCTCTGAAAGAAATTTATGTCATGAATTCCTGTTTGTGACAATCCTCAAAATTTCACAGTTTCACACAAGTTTCAGCCTTCGGCAATAAAGCCATAAGGCATAGGCATCTATCAACTTTGTGACAAATAAAACAACTCAGCCCATAAGAAGTAGGGGAAGTGCAGCACTAATTTGACGCTAAACATACACAACTTTTCACAGAGTTAGCTACTGGCTAACTAGAAATACTGCAGTCTCTGAGTGTCCTTTCATTATGCACCAGCTGTTCTTTGAATATTGAGAGGTTGTGTAAAAGATTAAAGGATAGCTGTCAGTAACCTTTTAGGGAATGAACATAAACTCAAGTGACATATATTTACTAAAGTTAAAATTGCAAGGTAGGAATAATTGATCTACATCTATGTGAACTCTGAGTGAAGTTAGGAATTTAAGTATGAATTCAGCATTTTACATAGTAATATAAATTATTTTTAATATTTTGATCCTAACCCGTATTTGGTTACTCAAGTTAGTGCAAAGAGCTGCATGTGAGTGTATGGCGTGCATAGAGCAGAAGTCTTGTCAGTGTTCTCAAAGCTCCAGATTTTGTGTGTTTGTTCTCCTGAAGTGTTAATCAAATGCAAGTTTAAGATCTACTGTGACGTAGTCGATATACAATTCAGTTTACCATGCTACACTGGTTAGGTATAAAAGGAAACAGGCAGATATCTTGTTAGAACAACCCAAAAATCCAATACATTAATTCCATTTATAGTTATTTTACCTTATTTGAAAGGCAAGAAAAAAGGCACCATCATTTTGTATTTAATTTACCTTGTATATTTAATAGCAATGTGCCTCATTGGTTCAGTTTTGGATGCTATACTACCAATTTCCAGTATATGCAGATTTAGTCACTAACAGGAATACCACATCTTGAATTTAATACAAATAAGTCTTCTTATAATATGATTTGAAGTCTGACTGTAGCATTACTATTCCTAGATGAGTAAGCTTAAATTTATCCTTTAGGCTGCAAGCTGCACCATATTTAAGACACATGCAAAATTTTGAGCTCAGAAAAGGAAGACCAAAATTAATCAATGGACTTTCATGAAAACAAAGGGCAAATTGGTTGCAAGTTTTTAAAAGTATAAACAAAACTTTCTAATAATAAAATTAATCATCTGAAATTATATGCAGAGTTCTGATATGTTGCTGATTTAGGTTACCACACTGGAACGGATGAGAGAGATATCTGAAATCTGAGGGCCAAACTTCCTCTACTACAAAGTCATGAGGTGTCACAGCAGCAGCCTGTTGCACCTTTGCTGTAATAATCCATCCCTCCCCATGCCTTTTAGTGGTTCAGCTTTAGATCCTGGGCAGCAATAGTGACCCTCTCTTTGCTATTTTCTGGTGTTCCTTACTGGTGTTCCTCACTGCTTTTATAGGTTTGCCCTGTCCTTAGTTACTAGCCTGGCTGGCAAATACTGATGGAATGGTAGACCTTTCACTGGAACTCTGCAACTAGGATGGATTGTGTTTTTGCCACATCTTGGTACCATTGCCATCTGATGGATCGCATCATAGGATAGAATTAAAGTATCTAGCTCTTCTGGGTTCCACTAATACAGGAACACATGCATTCAACATTGCTGGCCAAAGACATGAAATAGTGCTTATCAGAAGGCTAGAATATGGACTTAAGTTACTTCTATTCAATATAGAGTTTGTTTATTATTTTGTTCCATCCTTCAAGATGGAGAACCTGCAATTCTTCTGATCACAGAATCACAGTAAACTTCTGTAAAAATGCAGTACTAAAGAGAAAAAAAAGTTCAATAAGCAGAATCAACATTAAATGTCTTGGCATGGCCATCAATCTTCTTTCATAAACACACATCCCACCCCTACATTAAATTAATGCAAAAGTTATAGTTTATGTCTAGTTTAAAGTTCCACAGTTACAATCTATTAGATTGTAACCATTTAGTCACTAAGAACTCTGTTCCTTTACTAGCGCCTTTTACATGTTAACCAGTTGGGAGGTTGTGGTCAGCATGTCACATACACCATCACCCTATCTTCAGGAAGATGAATTTGCAAATTTGTAACGTTTCTCTTAGCTTTTGCAGAAGTAGATTCAAAAAGCAGCTAGCCAAAAAGGCAAAGAACATGATCATTAATGGATCTACACATGAAGACATTTCATTGTACATCTAAAAAAGTTAGTTTATTTAATTAGTATTGACTAAATTGTACTAATCCTAACATTTTGCCGTTGAGGGCAAACATTTTTGCCTCTTCCTATTGCCATTTTATTCAGATCTTGCTGTATCAGGAAACATAGCAAGCAAAGTTCTTTACTTAGCAGCTATGTTAATCCAAGACTGAATTATTATTTATTAGCACCAACTTACCTACAAATACTACATAAATTTCAGACTTAACCTTATATTATCTCAAAATCAGTCCAGTGAGTTATGCTCAAAATAAAGGACTGTACATGAAGCACTACTTTCCCTCTAAAGTTTTTATTTAAAAACTAGACAAACAGATATGTAACTGTAAGACAGAAAAAAAAAAGGAGTAATTTGTAGATAAGGACTTCTAGGCTTTAAGAAACTCTGTAAAAGCATTCAGAAATGCTGCCAAAGTAGAATTTGTCTACTACATCCAGAGTTTCTTCCTACTGTTGCTGTTTATCCTAGAATGAGATACTTTGTTCCTATAGTGTTTGCTTAGTTCGGAAATTAAAAATTACGCCACAAAGCAGCCTAGGACAGGATTGCTCTTCTACATGGAATTACTTGAACTCTGCTATTGTTGATATTCACATTCTCCCTAGCTGATACTTTCTTTCAGTCAAATTGAAATGCTAATAAAGAATGGTCTAGGCGTAACTGTTCAGGAATCACTGGTATTACACAGAATTATCACAGAATTTGTTCTGTGAGTTAACAAACCTCATCTTCATTCCAACCTGTTCACATTAACTTATACACACACAAAACAAGTATACAATTGTATGCCTTCATGACAATTGAGTTGCTCATCCAGGCATATGACAAATGCTTGAATAGAGAAAATTATGCAACAGCTTTCCAACAGTAATTCTACTTTTCCTCCAAAGCAGTGGTTTCTTACCTTTTAAATCTACATTGAGCAAAGGAAAAAGTCAGTACAGTGCCTTATTTAGTTATATTGAAAAGTATGCAAAATATCTGGCTTTCTGGGAACTCTGCAAGCAACTTACTTTCTCACAAGGAACAAAAGCAAGGTAGTTATAGTTCTTTAATGGAAAAAGCCAGGTTATTGATTTTTAAATTTGTTTTTAAGTGAGCTTAATGATTGGTAAAGGTGCTGGACTGATGGCCCTAGAGACTATCCTCAATCTATCGCACAGACAGCATTCCAAGATCCTCCATTATGTTATAACTCTCAAGAGACCAGTCGTAAAAGGTTGAATCCAGTAAGATTGTTCGAAAACACTACCTATACTTAAATAAAGAAAGGATGCGTTTATTTAACAAAAGCAAAAAGGCAACAAACAAATAATTAGGTTGCACTGCTCTATGATAGTTTTAAGCCACGCTATCAGAGCCATGCATTAGAAGGCATATGGAAACAGAAGCAGACTACAATGCAAAGATGACTGGGCATTTTGTACACAGTGTAGTGTTAGGTAAAGACATTTCTTCACAATGCAGGATGAACTGAAATGAGCCAATGAGCACAGTAGTTACATAAGCCATTTCTGTTTCAGGACCTTCTGATCTTTTTAACTAACAGAAAGTTACTACAACAATTAGAGCAAGGAAGTTTGAAGACAGAAATTTCATAGGTTAAAAGCTTTGGCAGTTTAAAACTTAAAATCTGTTAACTGATATTAAGCAAGCATCCTTTTTCTTTTTAAGCAATCTCAGCATACTACCACGTAAAATTAATCCTTACAACAGCGAGAACCAAAAAAAAAAAAGTCTACACATAGACTCTTCTACTTGCACAAATGAAGTTCAGTTTCTAACTAAAAGTTGTAGCAAATAAAGACATAAAGAAGCTTGTTTTCATGCACACAGCTCCCGATGCAGTAAATGCAACATAGTCAAATATGACCAACTCGTGAAATGAAGGAAAAAAACAAGACAGAACATAAATGTTGATCTCATTTAATGTCAAGTCACATAACTAAGCAATTTTTTGTTTTCTTACATTCCCAGATAAGGGCAAGATTCATGTATAAGAGTTAGTTTTATTGCATTCATTTAAAAAAAACGTACATTGGCAAAATCAGGTACTGAAGCTGTAATTAGATAAGTAAAACCTGCTACAAATGAAAGATAGGACTAAAGGTGCAAGTGATCAGAGACAGTAGCACTTACCTCATGATGCAGCTCAGCTATCTGATCTTTCAGTTCTCTGATGTACTGGTTAGAATCAGATTTATTAAGCTGCCCTTGAATTTTTCCTTCTTCTTTCTGTTTTGGTTAAAAAAAGAATCTTATTCAAATTATTCACGGATATACTATATTAAAATGTTATTTTAACTGTCTGCATATTTTTGTCATGAAGAAAAGCTATTCACAGACACCATCCAGCAGTTTTCATCTGGCTGAAGTTACAGCAGGTATCTACGGGTGTCAGTAGCTCAGACCAAGTTGACCCTCTCAGTACTAACCACAGTATAGGCAGGATTCTATGGAGGAGCATGAAGAATTAAGCAAACTTCACAGGTGGAATTCATATTCAATCCACATTTAAATAGAAAGTGTAAGCAGACATGAAACAGGCATTCCCAAATTAAGCCAGTCTAAACTGACATCAGAAGCAATAACATTTATTAGCTTAAGTTTGGCACTGCACAAATAGCTGAAAGCTGTTAGTGTATACCATATAGAGTATACCATATTGGAAGTTAACACACACTTTCATTATATTTAAGTGGTTTTATTGTTACTTTTTATTCCACAAATAATACCGTAAAGTGAATGCAGATATCACAGAATAATTTGACATGTATATTTGCTCATGGAAGAACTGACTCTTGCTCAAATCAGTTGGCGCTGAATGTAGGGCATAAGCCTGGCTTGCAAGATCCTCATTATTAGTGAAGGGCAAGTAAGTTTCAGTCATCCTTTCAGAACTACAGATTTTGTAGAACTGACAATTCGCAGAAATGCATTTAGCACAAAAAAGCAACCCTGCAATGTCATCTTCTAGAAACATACTTCTTTTAAAAGAAAAGTCATGCTCTAACTTCCTCTTGCAACATTCAAAACACTAGAGGTCAGAATTCAATCCTTTTAACTGGCTGCAACAGAAATCAGGTATTTCTTGCTAAATAAATAAGCCCACGCTCCATAAGCTACGAAGTCTGTCTACAGTGGGTAAATTGGAAGGATGATATAGGAGAAATTTTAGGACAAGGTATCAGAGTTTTCTTCACAGCTGCTGTTCATCTCTCTGAGCAACAGTAAAGATATATTCTACTTTTTTTTTTAATAAGCTAAGTTGATCACGCCATTAATTCAGTTATTTAAAAGACACTCATGCAGATGCAGTAGCAAGCCACTAAAAACCAAGCAGGAGTCAGACACTATAGCATTTTTTTAATTCTTACCAAAATAATCTAATTTAGAAAATAAATAAATAGATAGCTCAAAGTTTACAGATTTCAAATGAATCAAAACATTTATTTTATAAAAAGTAGTTTTATCTGTCAGATTATGATCTTTAAGTTATCCAACATTCTTTAAAAGTGCGAGGAGATTGCTATTTCTCATCAATACATATATTTATTTTCATACAAGTATAAAATATTACTGTGATCTGCAAAATTGCTTCATGTTCCAGTCACATTTTATATTTGCACTAAGTTCAGATTGCTTTCTAGCAACTTCCAGCTTCTGATGAGCATTTGTTAATCAAAGGCAAATTTTAATGTGAGCACCTTAAATTTGGTAGTCATGTTCTTTTACACTAGTTTTTCATTAGGGCAGCTTGACAGAAGTCAAAAAGAAAAATTGTTGGCAGGAAAAACTTCAACATAGCAGTTCTTTTTAACATGACAGAATGCAGTATTAACGG